TCAAAGTCGGCTTTCGATATTGCGCAGATGTTAACGGACAGAGGTGAAATGTGGAAAAGGTTTAAAGAGGAAGTTGAAAGGATATCGAACGAACAACAAAACCCAGTAACTGAGGCAAAAAACGGGGAAAGGTCACTCGATAACGGTGAGGAATGTCCGCCGGTCGAGTTGACCGAAAAGCCATTAACGAGCCTTGAAGAAATAAATGAACTGGAAAAGTCAAAATCGGACGAAGAAAGGTCAAACTCCGATCAATCAGAAAGGTCACCAACGAGAATTCGGGTAGCAAGGAGTCACCCAAGAGTCGCCGCACGAAACGGACGAAAGGCAAAAGAAAGGGACAAACCTCTGCTCAAAAATTCGAAAGCGAAAAAACTTAGCGATTCGCGGGAAAACGAAAGTGACCTTTCATCAGAAGACGAAGGAGTTGATGAGCGCCCAATTGAAAAAGCTAACAAAGGTCAAGCTACTGTACAAGAATATGAGAGCAGTAACTCAGATTCAGAGTGGACGAGTTCAAGTGATAACTCAACAACTTCGGAAGATTCAGGTGTAAGTGACCTTTCGGAGCAAGAGGATTTAATGGACTTGGATGAGGATGACGAAGTGGATGAGGAAAAAGAAAAGGATATTAAAGTCAGAAGGTTGAAAGTGGAGAAAGCTAGAATGTCGAAAGATGTGATTAAAGTCTACAGTGACCAACGAATCAAGTTGAAACCGTCAAACTGCACACGTGTAAAGGTCAAGATGGGAAAATATGCACCGGCTCAAAACAAGTTGATGTTTACACCGGTCCCACAAGTGGAAACTGAGGTGCAACCGTTGGCAGGAGTGACGGACCACAGAGGAAAGTACTTCGAGATCGTTATTGCGAATCACAGTAGCAAATATCGGATCGTGAAGAAAAATCAGCTTCTCGGATACGTCGAACCGTACGAGCATATGGAAAATGTAAAGGTCAACGCCGGGACAGTAAAGAACGTACTCGAGGACCCGGAGGTGGACGACACAACGAAAGCTGAATTGAAAAAGATAATTGAAAACTTGAAATTGGGACCTGACCTTACCCAAGAGCAGATGAACGACGTGTATAACGCATTCTGGGAATTCTGGAAGGTCTTACCCACATCAAAGAAACCATATGGAGATGTCAAAGGGGTCACCCATGTAATCGATACGGGAGACGCGAAACCAGTCAAATGCAACCCGGCCAGAACGAGTTGGACAGGCCGTGAGTTTATAACGAAGCATATCGAAGAAATGTTAGCACAAGATGTAATTGAACCGTCAGATGCCGAATGGAGTTTCCCAGTCGTACTGGCAATAAAGAAAAATGGCGACGGAACAATGGGAACGCGATTTTGCGTCAATTACATCATGCTCAACAAGCGGACAAGAAAGAATAACTACCCGCTACCAAACCCAGATGAACTGCTTGACGCGTGTGCAGGCAACAAATATTACGGAAAAATGGATTTACAAAGTGGATTCTGGCAGATCCCAATGGATCCAGCGTCAATCAATAAGACGACCTTTGTTACGCAAGATGGAATGTACCGGTTTAAAAGGATGCCATTTGGCGTATGCAACGGACCAGCAACATTTCAATTGTGTATGGATAAAGTACTTTTGAAAGCGAAAAGAAAGGGTTGCGTTTTCGGGTACATCGATGACGTAATCTTCGCCGGAAAAACTTGGGAAATTTTCATGCAGAATTTGAGGAATGTCTTAATGAGTCTGGTTGAAGCGGGATTCACCATCAAACCAACTAAGTGTGAATTTGGGATGAGACAAATGGGATTCCTGGGTCACATACTCAGCGAAGATGGAATCAGAATGGACCCAGAAAAGGTCACCGCGGTCTCGGAATTCAAACGGCCTCAAACTGAAAGGCAATTAAGGTCATTCCTTGGATTGGCAAACTACTATCGCAAATTCATAATGGGATATGCCCAGAAGACGAGCCATTTGTATGAACTGTTGAGACAAGATAAACATGTCAAAAAAGACTGGACAGCAGTACATGAAGAAGAGTTCAACAGTCTAAAACAACTGTTATGTGAAGGTCCGGTATTGGCAAAGTTTGACCCTGCAAAACCGACCGTAATCGAATGCGACGCAAGTAAAGAAGGAATTGGAGCTGTGTTGTCACAAGATGGACATCCAATCGCGTATGCGAGTCGCGTCCTACATGGAGCGGAGAAGAATTACGGTGTAACAGAATGGGAATGTCTGGCAGTAGTGTTCGCTGTCAGGAAATTCAAGCCGTACATTGATTACGCAGAATTCACCGTAAGGACGGATCATCAGGCGCTTACTAACCTGCTAAGGTCAGAAACGAATAAAGTTGGAATGAACCCACGCTTAACAAGATGGGCAATGGCACTACAAGGCCACCAGTTTAAAATCGAATACAAACCGGGAAAATATTGTGACAACGCGGACGCGTTATCAAGAGCGCCAATTGAAGGCCCGACGTGTCAAGAAGAGGAATTTGATGAGATCCCAAATTTTGAAGATTATAAGAAGGAATTTGACACGAAGGAACCCGCAATTGAAATTGGACAGCTGTTCCTGCAGATGGTGGAACAAAGAGAAAAACGATTAAAGGTCACTTCAGCTACGGCGAATGAGTCGGCTGAAATAGAAGCTAATGTGAATCGTGTAAAAAGTTGGTTGCCCACCGTTAGTGACTTAAAGGTCACCGGACTTGAAATAGATGCCGAAGTCCAAAATGGAAAGGTCACTGGACTCGATGAAGCAGCGGAGAAGAGAGATGACCTTTGGGAAACGGACAAAGTTACACAGGCGTTGAACGAATGTCCCATTAAGTTGCTGAGATTCCCAAAACAGACGAGAAAGAGGTATAAGCCGTTACCACGCTGTAAGGTCATCAGAGATTGGAACGAACTCAGTACAGCAACAGTGCGCATCGTTAACCTGCAAGGTGACGAAGAAGAAGAAGATGACTCAATCTACAGCTGCGAAACAAACAATTGAAAGATCCCCATCTGGCAATGATTATAGACGAACTGGAACATTTACCAGATGCGGAAACAAGATCGAAATTCGAAGTACATTACCAATTGTGGAACGGCATATTGTACCGGGTAAAAGATAAGAATGGGAGATTTGAAAGGTCATATGTGGTACCGTTGTCAATGCGAAGAGCGATAATCCACGCATTGCACGACGAGAAAGCAGCAGGTCACTTGGGATTCGAAAAGACATTGTCAGCGATAAGACTCCGATACTACTGGGACAGGATGAGTACAGATGTGAAGAATTACATACTCGCCTGCCAAGGTTGCCAGTTCCGCAAGACACCAAGAAAATGCCCACCGGGAAAACTGCAAGAGATTAAAGTGGGACATCCGTTCTTTCGAGTGTACGCTGACTTGAAAGGACCTTTGTTACCGACCAAGAAACGTGGATATAAATACATAGCGGTGTTTATTGATCAACTGACGAAATATGTGATTGCGGTACCAATGAAGACGGCAACGGCCAAAGAATTCGCTAAAGTGTTCGTGAAGCACGTGATATTGGTACACGGAGCACCGCACATCCTACACACGGATCGGGGACGGCACTTTACGGCTGAAGTACTGACAAAGGTCACAAATGTGTTTAAGATTAAACACACATTTGGAACGGCGTATCATCCAGAAGGTCAAGGCCAAGTGGAGAGACAGATGCAGACGATTGCTGATGGTTTGGCGCAATACCTAAAAGCGGGAAATGAACGAAAGTTTAACAAGTATCTCCCATATGTTATTTCGGCGATGAACAGAGTCGTGCACGCCACAACGGGATATTCAGCATACTATATGCTACACGGCAGAGAAATGACAATGCCGGAAGATGTGGTTACAAAAACGAATATACCCGATGATTACGGAACTCCAGACGAATGGGTGGAGACCATGAAAAAGAACTTGACCTTTGCCGAAGAAGTGGCGAGATGTAACATCAAAGATGCATACGAGAAAAATGCGGAAATTTATAATAAGAAGAAATCGGAGCCGAATTTCAAAGTGGGCGATTTGGTACTTATACGACTTCCAAAAGATACAAAACAGGGGAAGAAAGAAAACCAGTCGGACTTCAAGTCGAAATACGATAAAGTGTGGAAAATTCTTAGCTTCCCGCGAACAAACGAAGCGGAGGTCATCGAACAGAATCCGAAGAAGGAAGCGGATCTAAAAGTGGTTTCGATTGATCGGTTAAAGCCGTGGCACCCACCATTACCCGAAGAGAAAGATTCGCAACGAATGTCGAACGAAAAAGAAATGGTAGAAACCGAGCATGCTTCAAAAAATTGTACCAATCAATTTTTCGAACCACCTCTGCTACCTGAAATGGAAAAGGAAGACAAACCTACAAAGGAAGGAGGAAGAAAGCGGAAAGAGGATAAGGATTTCGAAACAGCAGTCACAATCAAGTTGAACGCAGAGGCTGGTAATTTGGCAGAAAGGTCACTGGAAAAAGACAACGAACCGACCTCCAAAGTACCAGAGCGCACCTCCAAAAAGGACCTGCAACAATCCTTTTTCGAACCACGCACTGCTACCGAAGATAAGGATGACCTTTCGAAACAGCGTACGGACGCTGAGATATTAGAGCGTGACCCGAATTTTTTCGAACCACGCACTGGTACCGGTAATGAGGACGACCTCATAAAGCAGAGAAAAGAGGAGATAGAGACGGTCAAATCAAAAGCTGAACAATTGGGCCGCGATATAGCGAAAGCAATCAACGAGCGAAAGGTCAAGCAGAAGAAGAAGAAACCAACTCCTACGGAACTGCTAACCCAAAAAGGCGAACCTGAGGACGCAGCCGAGAAAGAACTCCTTGATCGGATAACTAAAGGACGCGAGAACAAATAACCACATAGACATAAATAAGGGGTCACACTAGATTAAAAATAGGAGTTGGGAAGGCAAAAAGAAAGGTCATCACTGTGCAAAAAGTTAACCTTTATTGTTTCATCTTTATAGAAGGTAAGCACAGTTGATGGAAAGACTGGAACGGCAAAACTCGGATAATTCTGATTCGGAAAGTATTGGAAACCCATTAAAAGCATCGACACCTATAAGAATGGAAGGTGAATACGGCTATGACACCTCATATGGTGAAGGATCGACGTCGTCAGCGGGAACGGCTCAGAACGAACCCGGAACAGTTCAAGGAGGTTACTATGGCGACCAAGGGTATTACGTGTATCACGATCCAGGACAGCAGATGAATTACCAGGACACGGTTAGCTGGGTGCACCACGGCTCACCTGCCGGAACCCAGTATTCGGGACAAGTAACGGGCACCCCTTATCAACCGTACCCGGGATCGTATACCCCACCGTCGGGACCCTCACAGATGATAATGGGACCGGCAAGAATGTTGATGCCGCCACCACAACAGACTACACCAAGCCGATTTACGGGACAGGGAGGATTCGGTGGAATGATGGTAACTCCAGCGCGATCATATAGGTCATCTCCGATATTACCGCCTTTTCCGGAGACGGGAGGCTTGTCATTGTCGGACATCGGAGCGCCTCGCATGAGAACACCGCAGCAACTTGGAGCGCAGCGCCCTCACCGTAATTCGCCACACAGAGGAGGAAGGCGACCGAGAGGCATTTTACCGTCACTGGGTCCCAACTTGGAGCAGACTGGACCAGATGGCTTACGGCTTACGCCCCCAGGCGAACCCTCATTACACGAATACGCACCGAAGCTCCCTTTGGACTTGAGGGACGATGACCCAAACCTGAATTTAATCGTGGATAAAAAGGAAAAACTGACGGAAACCGATTTAGAAGCCATTCGCGACTTCAATCGGAAATGCCGTGACCTTTACAGAATCCACATGCGAGTTGAAGACGAACACGCATGGTATGGAAAGTTAATCAGCTTGGAAGCTGTTATCAAACCATGCCACATTGCCATGAAAGATAAGACGAAGCAGGTCGAAGCAAAGCGTAAGGAATACGCAATCCAAGTTGCATCGATGTGGCAATATCACCCGACAATAAAAGGTAGAAGGTGGCCGGAGACTGTCGAAAAGATCCTTCGATATCTCAAGGTGTTCCCAGAAACAAGACAGACGCCGACTACCAGCGTCGCGGGACCATCCAAACCAATAGCTGAAAAGAACGCCCCGGTCGGCGAAATGACGGACGAGGATCTGTTGGCAACAAAGAGAAAGATTGATGCCGAATTAACTGAACGAGCAGAAAGGTCATGGGCCAGCTCGACCGCAGGATCAGTACGTGGACGTACTAGTTCGGTTACAGAACCATCTAGCGGAGCCACGAAGAGTGGAAAAAGAGCAAGGTCACCAACGATAAGCCCAAAAGAAACTGACAAGAAAGGGCAGCGAACGAAGAAGGCCACGTCAGGTAAAGCAACACCAGCTGAGCCGGCAAAGCCACAAGGCCCAGTCCCAGTGGGTAGAAAGAGTGTGCCACCCACACCAGCTGGAACAGAAGGTCAGATTCGATTCCCGAAGTGTAGAAGTTTCACTGCCAAATACACTGGGGAAGACCATAAAGAACGTAAGGTCACCGCACGAATAGTTGACAAGAAAACAAATAAAGAGATCGACTCGTATAATCCCCTCGCGGATAGGTCAGTTAAGGATGCCATTGGGGAAGAGTCAAAAACGGTAGTTAATGAGGCGCTACAGTTTATTCCCCCAGAAGAACGTCATAACCCAAGAGTTATCATTCAGATGATGAAGCACGTGGTATCTAAAGTTGCAACCGAAGAAGATGCATGGATCCGTATCAAAGTGGGCACAAATGATGACCATTTGGCATACACATACACAACGGACGGCAAATTGTTGACCAAAGAAAGAACCCGCTCAAAACCGACGGCGGATCCAGATCCGAAGAAACGATCGTCAGATGATTATGAGTCGGTCCTGAGATATACAGAGGCGACAAGCAGAAAGGTCACCCTCAGACTTTTCGCTAGTAATGGAGAAGCGGTGGAAACCATAACTGCAGTAATAGTCGACCCAATAACAGGAGACCCGATTCCATATGCTCCATGGGATGTATCAGAAGAGAGCGCCCGAAACGCGAATCAGGCAGCCATTGAGCAGTTATGGGATTTGATACCTGAAAGTGACCGAACAGATGCCGTGGTTCAAGCGAGCACACTGATTGGCATGATGCGGCATCGAGCGGAGATCGATGGAGCACATTTCCGACTCACAAGACGAATGGAAGACGGAACGTACAAAACGGTATTTTACGACGCTAAGAAGAACCCTTTATGGGAGGTCGCCTCACAGGGATCTCCGAAAGAGACAAGACACTTGGAAATTCATCCCCCGGCACAAGAAGGCGGAGCCGGAGAGACGGAAGAGGCGCAGGGCACGTCGGCAAATGTAACTGAAACAGGAGGGGCCAGACGCTCGCTACAAAGAGTACTCGAGATTGCCCAAGGAAGTCATGAGCACCTTCAGTGTGATGAACCAAACTGTGCCCATTGTAATCCACCTGGTGACGACGAACCAGAGTCGGAAGACGATAACCCACCTGAGGAAGAAGGCTCAGACGAAGAAACGACCGACAAGCATAAAAAGCCCTCAAAAGTGAAGCCCTCAAAAGTCAAACCGAGGAAAGCGCCCAGATTGGAAGAGGCCATGAACCGTGACAAGGTTAAGAAAGGCGATTTTCTCAAGAAACGACGGGAGGAAGAAGAGAAGAAGAAACGACAGGAGGAAGAAGATAAGAAGAAAAAGAGCGGTGATGAAAGCGATAGCACAAGCACCGGGAAGAAGAAAAGGGAAGGATCAAAGAAAAGAGACGAACCAGCGTCTCATGATGTTGAGATATTGGACGAGTCAGTTGGTGAAGTTGAAGAAAGGTCATCGACACCTACGAAGTCAAAGAAAGTTATCCAATCGGCTACAGCAGAGCCATCAAAACCCAAAGGAAAGGTCATAGCAGTGAAACAAGTTGTCCCCATCGTCATCTCTGCATCCACGCCAAAAGAGCGCAAGGACAAACAGATCCGCGAAAAAGCGAAACGGGAGACGTCGCGTGAATCGGAGGCATCGGAAGTGAGCCTTCCAAGCACTTCGACGGTCAGTGCAAGGTCACATGCGGATTCGAAAACGACACGATCAAGAACCACTGAACCAAGGAGCTTAGCGGAAGCACTGGATAAAAGGCAAAAAGCAAAGAGCGAACCCGTTAAGACAAAAGGAAAGGTCAAGACAGCCATAAAAGTCGACGCAATGGCAATGATCAATTACACTGAACCAGATGGAGAGAGTGAACTGGATTTCACCTCAGATGAAGAGTTCGATGGTTCAGACGACGACAATTTGACCACGGTCGATGAAATCATCAACGCGTATAACGGAGCCGAGAAGAATTTCACACGAATAAGAACAGCATCGGTGACAGCGAAATTTAAAGCGGGCCTGAAGACTTATCTGAAGAAACAGAGTCGCAGCTTCACTAAACGAAAGTTCGACGTTGTATTGGAATTCGCACGGAGTGCAGGGAAACTTATCCAAAAGCACCCAAACTTTTCGTATAAAGCCAAGCTGTTCAGACCTGCCAGTTCGGACAAAGCGCTGACTACTCCGAATGAAGCGGTCCCAATGCGAGTAGAAAGGGCAATCGCAGGAATGACAAGCCCGTTAGGATCAACAAGCCATCGGATTAGCCAATATATTAACGCAGTTTGGAATGATGGGAACGGGATGATAAAGGAGATCGACACGGCAACCGAGCGCGTACTGCCAAAGTTGATTAAACAGAATGTCCTTGCCACAACAAACGCAAATAAAGGACATCCAATCCGATACACGAGAGTTGGTTTGATACCACCGGAAAGACAAATCCACTGTCACATGTCTGACAGTCAGGATACGGAAAAGGTCATAGTCCCATCGAGCGGAGACCCGTCAACTCCGATATTGGATCAGATTGCACAGAAAACGGCCGAAGAAGATGCAGCGGCGAGGTTGAAATCACAAGCCCCGAAAGTGCCGAGGAAAAAAGGACCAATGGACTCGGAATCGGGAAGTGATGACGATACTACAATAACGGCTCCTTCTGGACCTGCGACAGAAAAAGATGAACAGTCGAAAGGTCAAAAGACATCTGGAACTACCGCAGAAGTTCAACCGAAAGGTCATGAGACTTCAGACAAACGGGAGAAAGAAAAGGTCATGCTCCCGATGGATAAGGCAGCGGCAGAAGCTGAAGCGGATTCGGCGCGACAGGTGTTTCACAAATCACTGTTCATACCATTAAAGGAGGTCTTTGAGAAGGAACGATCGAAGTCGGTTGGCGATCTAAAAGGTCAAGAGACTTTGCCGCAAGAGGAGAAGAAGACAGCCGAACCAAAATCAGCGGGGTCATCATCAGGATCATTGGCAAAGCTGAGGATCGATGAAACAGCGACAGCTGACCCAACGGATTCGACATCCTCCCAGAAAAGTAGCGATACACCAGTGAAGGAGGCTACAGATTACACGTTAGGGCCGGCATTGGACGTAAACAACCGTACATGGAAGGAAGTCCAAAATACGCTCCAGATGGTCAGAGAAGGCGAACTACTTGGCCCCGAACTGAAGAGACAAGTGGCTGAAAACTCGAAGGGGAGGTCGTCACTCAATATGACCGAAAGAGTTCTGAAACGAGCATACAAGGAAGGGAAATTAGGATGTAAATACAACAAGGACAACAAGGTCATTTATTACCTACCGAAACAGGGCCGAGAGCGTACTCCTAGACTTCCAATGGCATTAGAGGCATGGAAGATAGCCATCACAGACGTGGCTTTGGACGCCATCGGAGGTACCAACGGAGCGTCATGGGGTGACCTTTCAAATTTCATGGCCGTTCATTATGAATTGGGCGAATTGAACATCGAGAAAGATAAGGAATGGATCAAGAATGCGGTGGAAGCTTTGATTGCGGACGAAGCAGTTCACATCAACAGCGATGGCCGGATAGATTTTCCACCGTTACCACCACCAGAGAAAGAAGCAGAATGAATGTCGACAGTGTAATATGCAGCGAGTAATGAACCCTGCATATTACAGAAAAAGCATAAAATAGTTCAAAACGAAAGAGAAAAGTGTTAGGAAAGGTCACCTGAAAGCAGCAATAGGACTAATAGAAAAGGTCACAGTAGTCGGAGAGTGCTGATAACGTGAGAAAGGTCACCACGTTACAGTGATAGAAAGCCAGCAGGAGCTAGGAAAGTCTCAGCTCAGTAACGGAATAGGCGTAAAAATGATAGAAAGCCTTAACATGGATAGGAATGGAAAAGATTGACGTGGAAAAGGTTACTATGACGGATTGCTTTATAATTGCAGATTGAAGAAGAAAGATGGCACAAAAAGGTCAAGCCACTCCTAAACGTTCGGGAATGGCGGCAGACATCGATCAGTTTACGGGCTATAATCCAAAATGTCCGGACTGTTTACGGAACAACAAAAAGGTTGATAAGAAATTCCCTTGCTACACTTGTATTCACAAGCTGGAAGACCCACATGTCGTCACGCTTGTTGGGATCATGGAAGCCAAACGTGGGAACTTGGACGTTTTTCGAAATCTCATAAGCGCAAGAAATTACGGCAGCATCCCAGTAGAAGAGCGAATGCTATTTGAGGATCGTTATCGGGAAGCGATCCGAAACAACGAACCTGGTTGGGATGACACCTTGGAACCGTTGAAATGTCCACAAACAGACGCGTATCGAAAGAAGTTTGAAGAAGATCAAGAGAAGATGCGTGTTCAGCAAATGGAGGATGAAATCAGAGCGAAAATTAATGCGGAAAATAAAAGAGCAAGTGAACAGGCCGCACGGGAAGCATTGCCCAGTACGTCGGGTTTAGCTGCACCCACGGGCATGGCCAGCCTTAATGAAGACGAAATGCAACTTGTACGACAGTCGCTCATCATACAAATCGAAACGTTAACGAAAGATCCAGCTGCTATGTCAGACGAGTTATTCAAAATGCTGTTGCGGGAGAAGAAACGACTGCAAGACGGGTTCGCGCCGGCACCATACATAAAGAAGGAAGTCGAAAGACGTATGGATGACCTACGTAAATCTCGCCGAACCGAAAGCGATGTGCTGCAAGCACTCAGAAATTTTAAACGGGACGAAGGTTTCATTCGACCTCGATCGCCTCCGCATAGAGAAAGGTCACGCGGACATTCACGTGAACATGAACGGATTTCTGAAAGACGGAGCGAAAGGTCACGTGAACACTCTCGTGAAAGGACACGTGACTACCACAGTGAAAGGTCACGCGAACACTCTCGCGACCGAGATTACCGCGGCGGAAGAGGATGGGTGCGCCATGGAAATGAAGTAACAGAAACGAGTGTTCAGAGGAAAATCGACACGGCAAAGATCTTGGCAGCCACAAGAGGACGTGAAGAGAAACGGCGTGCGGAGACATTCCGTACAGAACCCGAGAAGCAAGGACATCAGGTGCCGATGGGAGTTGCATTCCGGAATCGCAATGTCAGAATGTCAACATCTGAAAGGTCATGGGACAAAAGACGCGAACAAACGCGGAATCGAACACCCGACCCACAGGATAAAAGATGGCAACAGAGAGCTGCATTTTATGCGACCTTTGACTCGGGCTCAAGTAAAAGGTCATCAAGCACCGAACGGGAAGATTCACCCCCAAAGTATCAGCGGGTGGAGTCAATGGTTCACGTCGTGGATCCAATTGTGAGCGTCGTACAAGAGGACGATGCGATGGAAGGAACCCGTTCGATTGTGGAAGCGTCTCAAGAAAACGTGACCCATCGACGAAACGTGATTTTGGATAGTGACCTTCAACCGGCTACACCGACGAGTAATGAAACGTCGCAGCCTGAGTCAGGAGAGCGACGTGGACTGGAAGGTCAAGGCGAACCGGATAATCGTCGCCAAGGTGATCAGCGATTAAACTCCAGATTTAATAACCGACAACCTGAAAGCATTGACATGGAATATAAGACGACTGATACTGATGAGCAAACGGTCGAAATTTGTCGATACTTTGGACTTGAATCGGACTCGGTCGAAGCCAACAAAATTGCCACAATTCTGAGACAGTTGAGCCAATTCTTACTTGACTCGGGCTACGCAAAAGAAATTAAAGAGGGAGTAGAAAAGGGAATTTTTCGTCGATTATTCATCCACCGCGATTCGGCACGGGACTGTTATCTCCCTATTAGACGGAATGGGTTACACAGTTTGGTCGATTTGAGCCTACTGGATGTGCCACTGGATACAACGGATCCAATTGGGATGACCCAATTTTATTATCGCGACTATCCGGAACGACAAGAATACGTGGCCCAGTTCGTTTTACGATATGTGAATCCAGCTTTCAAGTTGTTAGCTGCGAGAGCGTCGATCGGATTACAGGTAGATCCGAAGGACTATGCCGCAAAAAGGATGGGGCAAAAGGTCTTCGCTGCGAGATTGGCACATTACAAGACACAGAATCAATTGGTGTCTAACACTATGAAGGACGACATTCCACCGTTCTTCCGAGCTCATGTCGCTAAATTGGGACAACCGATGGAACACATCAGCATAGCGCATACGGCTCGCAAGGCGCTGAAGAAGTGTAAGACACGGATGGAAAAGGGCAACTTGATACAGCGCCATGCATCCCAAGTTGAAGAAAGGATTAATAAGATCAAAGATTCTCTGGGAAGCGACTACGTCGAACCGGTGGACGGAATCGAAACGTACATCGATGAATTCCTAGTGAAGAAAAGCGACCGACGTCCGGAACGCGCTCCCAACCAGATGGGACGACGCGGCATACGAAACCAACAGCTGCGGGATAATCTCGCCGACGTGCAGCGTCGATTGGCGGAAGACCCTGATAACCGAAGACTGCGACTTGAAGAAAATGACGCGCGTCATCGACTTGAGGCGGTCAAGCGGAGCCGTCAAGGAAAAGGTCGTGGCCAGCGAGAAGTTGACCCGTCAAAGGTCATGGAAGTTGACTCAACTGAACCAGTCGATCGAACATCTGACCGTAATCAACCCGAAAGTGCTAAGAAGCGCCCGCCAAGAGATGGTGAGGGCGATTCAAATGAAATGGAATAGTGCTGATCGTTAGGATCACACTATTGAAAGGACGTCTACGGCATTTTGTCGGTACGTCACAAAAATGAAAAACGGTGTTGTATAAAGGGCGTGACATTTGACATGTTAACATTAATTGTATTTGTGTATTTGTTGGTTGCAGCATTTATAGCACAGAATTGCCTAAAGAAATCATGTGGAATACTATTGGGGTTGAAATTGATTCGGTCTATAAAGCCGGCCCCAAGGGAGCAGTTACGGCAGTTAGCCGGCTCTCCTCCTTACGCGATTCAGTGTTATAAAGTGACAAGAGAAACTACGGTAATCAAGCCGGATCTCTTGAATACGAAACGGGGCCACAAGCGGCGAAAAAGAGAAAGACAACAGGTGGAATATTGATGAGGTTAACTTAATGCGGCAACCAGCCGGCCTCATTAGAGTTGTTACGGTAAACTCTGCCGGCACTCTTCTTAAGCGATTCAGTGTTAAAGGTGAAACGAGAAAAACTACGGTTATCGAGCCGGATTTCTCGTATTGACATGGGCCACAGGCGGCGAACAAGAGTAAAAGATTAAATGTGGAAATTTCATGGGGTAAACTTAATGCGGTAACTAGCCGGCCCCATCAGAGATGCTACGGTAAACTTGCCGGCACTCTGGCCGCTCGAGGCATACTGAAGTTGGATGTGCGACGGAAAGGTCAAACTGCAAGTTTTACCAGGGAGGCAAGCGAAGAAGTGCTTGAAAGCCGCAGAAAATTGGCTAAGTCCCTCCATGACCTTTAATGGAAGCTTTGACGAGTGGGATGACCTTTGGGATCATCAATTGCCCAACAGAGTCACCGTATCGGAATTCAAGTCGCATGACCTTTGGGACCATTAACCCAAAACGAGTCGCACATCTCAACGGATCATCTCAACAAAGGATGACCTTTACTAGGGAGGAAGCGAACTACGCTTGTCTACATGACGTCCCTCCATGACCTTTATGGATCTCATTTTGAAGTCGTACAATTGATACGCACCTTATTCCAAAGATTGAAGCAGTATTTCAAGTCGTACTTGATACGCACCAGATTCTCAAGCGGATTGTGATGAAAAGTCGCACTACGGATGCGCGGAATTGCTCAACAGAGCGGAATGGGCCAAAGTGCAGAAAACGGTGGACAGGACCTGTGACCTTTACGAGTCAGAAATGGAGGATCCTAGTCTACATTTTGATTAATACTTTTGTTGATCTTATAACTGTTGATCTGTTTTTATGATAGTATTTTTGTAATTGGATCTCTTTATTCATATCGTATTAAATGGAATTGTGCCTTATGGAATTGTTGTGATATGATAAATGGAATAAGAGAATTTGATGTTTTCGAGCACGCACAGACACCGGCGACCGTCTTTTCGTGGATTCGGGAGTATGTTGGGCCTCACAGGAGCTCGGCATCCCCCCAGAGGCATGTGAGACGAGGCCTCACTAGCGTTCACGCCAGTGGCGCTAGGCGCTACGCCTTTGGATTACGGTCTGTGTTGTGTCTCGCTTCTGATTGGCTTGCGCTTTATTAGTGGGCGCGGCATAGCACGTGCTGCACAGCGTTGCACGCTGTTGAATTGGCTCTACGTTTTACGATCGAGCTGCGCCGATCACTTGTTGATTTTCTGTTGCACAGACTTTCAATATTATTAAAAGTCAGCGATTTACGGTGCGACGTTTGTGTTTCCGCATAGCTCGCGATCCATATCGTATCGCTCGCTTCCACGGGATCTATTCCGTTTAGGTCTCCGTATCTGGATCACTGCTGGATCTAGCATTAGATACCTTTTTGCAATTGCTTGAGAATGCAGATCCAGAAGCAGAAGAATATCTGTCAGAATTGGATGCTTCAGATTATCAATCGTCGCGTCTGAAACCACCGCAACAGCCTTTAAGCTCTAGTTCAACGGGTTCATCGTCACTCACACTATGTATTTCGCGTACATATAGGCATACGCGAGTATGTATTACGTACTAGTGGTTTTACAACAAATATGCTGCATTGCAATACGACAACCGGAAGTGACAAACAATTTTTGATCCTGTAGCGGCTCTACCAAGTGGCACCACAGAGTTTGTGTGCGGAAAAGCAGCATCTGCAGCGTGTACACTGCTACCGCATGTCAACGCCTGGTGGACACGCTACCCCGTGAGCTGCTGAATTTATCTGTATGCAAATTTTGTGGTGCAACTTGGTCGAGCCGCTAAAGAACATGTAGCAGTTTTAAAACGCTTTAAATTAACTCTTTCAAAAACAGCAATATAAAGAGCGAAGGGCAAAGAAATAGCAATACCCATGACATATTCATTACCCATGTTAAGGATTTGCTTCTTATCAACGCTATCCGGTGCGCACGGGACAACATTCTCCAGCGGCAGACTTGAATGAATACGGCAACACTTTACAGTTTCCTCAAAAGCTTTCGTCAGGTCTTCCAGATTTCATTTTGCAGCATCCTCGGGATAGTCGCTGTCGATCTGTGAGCAAATGAAATTCAACGCCCGTTCGCCGATGCTCACATGGTACCGGAAGGCGACGTGCTCGTTGTATAGATACGAACGGTCGGGACCGCCGGTTACTGGTTTCTTTGCAGCCAGATCAATCATTCTATGCGCAAAATCCACGCCCATGATATTAAACATGCTGGGATCGGCTACTGGGACAATAAACTTCCGAAAATAAATTCCTCTTAGTTGATCAAACAGAGAGCGTCTAGGATGCGCTTTGTCGGCAATCTGCCCCATGTGAACTACTGTGTGGTGGCACGACACATCATCTTCCATGCTGACACAAAACATGCGCAGGCGAACAATGGGTACAACTAAACGGGCTGGACGAAATACATATGGCACGTGCTCGTTAGGACGCAGGGCCACTTGTATTGCGAACCCTCCCGTTTTCTGCATAAAACCATCGATGGATGCTGCCTGGTCGTAACTATCCAGATACGGGTGCGGATAAATCTGGCTGGAATGAATCCAACAAGCGGGAATCGCGGTGCAGTCAAAGTCGATGAGCATTTCTTCTCCGTTAATATCTTGAACATATCCCAACCACCACTCACCGTTATCGCGGTGGATCAACACAGTGTTCCCATGGTTTTGTGCCCCTGAACTACGATGTAACATACGAAACGGATACATTGCTAAACCAAATGATGATATTTACTAAAACTTTTAACTGTCGATTACCACAATATAATAATAAAGTTAAACTGCACTACGGAAGTTAAAAGGTATGGTCTTTCGGATTAAACTGAAACAGAGCAGAAAAGAACGCAACCGAAGGATTAAGCAGAACGCACCCGGCTTTATCCAGCTAGTTCCGAAAACGGCAACTGCACTAACTGAATGGCATAGAAAATTCAGTTTGCAAAATACGGTACTGCATTCAGTCCCAGTTATATTGCATACGCTACTTTAAACAGTTGGAATAACTTCTGCTGCTCACAAAGCAAGCGCCAGTTTTATGATTCAACCGGCTCAGGCAGAGCAATACGAACAAACACAAAGAGACTGCAAATTCTTAAGAGGTCAACAGCAAGTAGGGCTCCGATGTCCTAGCCACCAGGATGGTATTTATTGTGACCATCCAATCCCTTACTTGTTTTCCTGGCATCGCTTTTGAAACTGCTGCCTGTGGCAACCGCCTCGTATATAGTGTGTCACTGTACAGGTAATGCACTTATGGACGAATGTTCTTATGTATTGCTTTAATTGCAAGCAGCAACTTTCTGGAACTTTGCCTAAGAAACCGACGCCTGAGAAACCTAAGAAACGGTTGGCAACCAAAAAGGCGACCGCCACAGACTTAAGCAGCGCTGATAATTTTGCACAACCTTTCGTTGGCCTAAACTGATGAAATCTGTTGATATTTTACCAACAATGCTGAGTGACTTTAATTTTACTGAACGGATAACGAGCTGGAGTCTGCTGGACAGAGTGATATTTAAAAAACCGCATGATACACAGCAGTTTTTATATGGGAGAGCAGTGTAAGTTGCAAAAATCAAAAAGGTCACAGTAACTGCAGTCATTTACCCATCCCAAAACATTAGCTTTCATTAAGAAACAATATCATGGCTTAAAGATGCGCAACCGATTTCACCGAGTTACAAGTTTTTTTTTCTGAAGTTTTATTTCCGTAACGCGATAACAATATCAAGGTTCAGATTCACTTAAACATAACAGCATTTTCAACAGTACCAATAACAGAAGCGGCATTACCTCTTTGAACAGCTAAAGAAATGTTCTGCCTTAAAAACTCGTGGCTGCGCGTCTCGCCTGAGCGCAGACCAGTGTTAACACGTTCGCGTGAAGACCCACACAAAATCGAAAGGCAATCTCCTGCTTGTAATAAGTCAGGGCGCCGTTAATTAGGTTTGCTGCAGCACGATCAATAACACTGCACATCGCTCCCAGATCGTGGATAAAACCTTCAAAAATATACTGTAGTCTGTAGCGATGAAAAGTTACACAGCATTATTTACAAAACACAAGCGCGCAGTTTGTAAAATAATTGTGACAGAATAATAATTCTGGCATTACCGATGTGGAATATTGATTTCTCCGTTCCTCCGGCTGTTCGACGCCAAATCAAGTATACTAACGTGTTATTAATAACCAAAATCGCCGTGCTGCATTTAAGAAAGCAGTCTCTTGCAGTGTATATCTGTACCTGATAATACCAATGCTGTCATAAAAGGGGAAGCAATGAGTAAGTACGCTTTAGCTTCCTAATGGCAACCGTTGGTACTGCGGTCAATGGCAATTACGCAGTAGAATCATTGACTGAAACGATTTGCTTTTTGTGCTTTTGAACCTTTCTCAGAATGTGTGTAAACTGTGGCTGGAATCTCTACTTGTACACATAATACTGAGCAAATGCAAAAAAAACGCAGCAGACCGGCATACGGCAGACAGACAGGGTATGCTTTGAAACCGGTACAGTTCCTCCGAAAATTCTAGACCGAACACCAAAAACAAAATTAATACAGCAAAAGGATGATGTTTACAATATTGCAAGTCCAACATTCATAATGTCATGCAGTGCAAAAACAGTACAGTAATCATTAAAAGAAAAAAGTATTTCCTGTTAGAGACCTAAAACATCCATAGTGGCTAAAACATCCATAGCGTTAACAAGCATAATTTCCGTTATTTTGTTACTCTAATTTGAAAAGAAATCTATTTATCCGATGTTGCAGATTTACAGAACACCACATTGATGCTAGCAACAGCCAGCTTGCTTAGCGAACGTAAATCCAAATTGCGCAAATCCACATTTGTCCAATCAAGCGCGCTTCCGTCCGGCTTAAACCCACCATACCTGCATGCGCAGACAGCAGATTAAATACGAGCATTTTCGATGAAATCACTGCAGCGATACACCGCTACCATCTATGCGATAATTGTAAGTACAGATATTACTAAACATTATTTTATGACGTCATAAGCATGTGCGCGTTGTACTGGATTACAGTTTAAGACATCGACGAATTGTTTCCCATTCTTCCGGATAAGAGAACGTCTCCACCCAGCGGCGATATATGCTTTCGACATCCTCATACACCGCGTCCGGGATGGGAGGACAGCTGGCTTCGGCGGCTACCAGAAACCGTCTCACCATTTCCTTGTCGGTATCCGCTGAGTGGAGAATAAAGCGAGAAACCACAATTTGGAGGTCTCTGCGCTTAAGACGCTGGAGTTCCGAGATCGAAATACGAGGGCATGTCAGTAGCGCATTTAAATAATCCATGTACTTGTGTTGTTGCCGGCTGGTGGATGACGCTGCGGCAATGCAGCGCATATTACTTTGATTGTAGAACATCGATGTATTACTCTTACTTCTTCCTTGAAGTGCAGTAAAGTTTGGCACGGAACCAGCATTCTGCCATTTTAAATACATTTTGAAATTTAAAATTAAATTTAAAGATTTTAAAATAAATTTTAATAAGATAAATTTTAAAATTCTTTAAAGTCATTTTGAAATTTAAAAACATGATAAAACCTAGTTTCGTGTCAAAACAACCTTTTGGCTTACAGAAAGTGCAATTTCGTGTAAAATTTGAAAGAGGTGAGTTAAATACTGAGACTTTTGGTACACCGGAAAACGTTAAAACTTTTGGAATTTCGTTACCTCCTAACCCTGGAACCGGATATTGCGCGCACACAAACGGTTTTCCCATCAATGTATACAAATCATGTGCCTACAGAATGCAATAAAATGATGCAAAAAAGTGGTTTTCGTCCATGTGCCCGAATTTGCTGCTATACATCCAAGTCACTTCTTATCTGTGAGTTAATTTAAGGCTAAATCTGTCGCGGTACAAATACAAGCACCATGTATGGCCACAGGCCCACAGCGTCCAACTCCGCCCGGCTAACGGCAGCAAGTACAGGGAATTATTTCAGGTGCGCTACTGACATCCGCTCGTATACGTGTAAAGGGCCTCTCAGTCGCTGGGAGGTCATTAAATATGATAAATGTGTCCATCTCGCCCGAAATATTTTTGACAGTGTAACTGCTGACGACCAACTTCCGGCATACAGTGAGGAGTTCACTGAAGTAGCCGTCTAGGCGAGCAGGTGTGCGTTCGCGAACACCGGCTTGGTTTATGCGGTAACAGCTCTGAATGCCGTACATGGATGAAGCGCCCTTCAAGTGGATAAGGAGGACGTGCAGCTTTTTGGCAGTTATCAAGGCCTGCGTGATGCGAACTATGTGCTCGAATTCGACTTCCATGCGGATACCAACGAAACTGATGCTGACGGTGTCCGCGGTCAACGCTTGATCCAGGCACCATGCAAATAGGTAGGTTCTGTCGTAACCTGGTCTGCTATTCGGATAGCGAAACTGGACCCGATAGCTGCTGATGAGTACATGCTGACTGGCTGTTGGATTAATGAGTAGCAGATTCCATAAACCACAGACCCTGGAAAAACGAACCCAATGCTGTTTACTTGCTTTCCTACTAGGTTTGGTTGTAAATTGGCTACACCACCGCAAAACGTTGTTATCATATTCCCAATCTGCCGTCAAAAGCTTAAAAATTGTCAGCGCCCATCATTCACACATATTTTTAGTCCCAGTTAGTGTAAGCTTAAGTACGTACCTCTTGGCTATTGCTTGAGAATGCAGGTCTAGATGAAACAAAATCTCCTCCAGGTTAGATAGTGTCAAGCTGGGAATTTTTGAATCTAAAATCAAAAATCTGATGACCTGCTTGCTTTTTGTTCGTCCACATCAATAATTCCAGGGGCGTACGGAGACGTACAGGCTAATGCAGAATCGCTATCACATTATGTAACAACGCCTCCGTATACGTATAAATGGAAGAGGAGAATTACCGGTACTATCTTGCTTTAGTAATTCTTCGCATGTACCCATAGCATATTGAAGACAGAGTATATACCGTTATAATAGAACATAAAATATACATACAAAGTAAAATACCTTATAATTGATTCTTATTTATTTTTTATGTCACTATGTCAATAACGCTAGGCTGTGATTTCTGCAGAAACGTGTAAGTTATCAAAACAATTATCGCAAGTTTTTAAATTCGAGTGACTGCGTTGCGCCGTAGTTACCGGTACGTAATATATTCGCACTTGAATTCCATTCGGGCGCTGGTGATGTACATATGTATATCTTCGTGCTTAATTATTAATGTTCGTACTTTCACGTACCAGGAAGTGCTTCAAAGGGAGAATCCATTATGCAGCGCATAGGTGTCCACATTCGGTGGGTAGGGTGCTCAAGATATCTTTCCACGGCAAGATCCATGTCATCTTGACTCCAGTAGGTCGACTGGCGGTGATTGTCCCCAACCAACTGAGCGCAACCAGTGTTAAGTTGTTAACACGTTCGCGTGGAGACCCACACAAAACCGAAAGGCAATCTCCTGGTCATAGCAATAGGTCAGAACATCGTCCACTAGCTTAGCTGTAGCGCCGTCAATAACTTCACACATCGCTTGCAGATTGAGAACGTTCATGTGGCTGGCATCCTGTACTGGGATTGTGAATTTCTGATAATATATTCTGCCACTGGTTTGTTCGAACAGTGAAGGTTCATCGAACGTGGTGGCTGGGGCTATTTGCCATAAATGAGCAATCATGCGGTAAGAAGACCCAAGATGATCCACAACGATATAAAACATTCCCAGTTTAGTCGTTGGTGCAATGAGCCGGGCTGACCGAAAAATGTACGGTCCGTCGTCAATATTGCGCAGTGCTACTAATATTTCCAAGTCGCCATCTTCTGTAATTATTCTATCGACTTCATTCCTCTCGGATTCATCCAGATGAAGGTGCATCCAGAGATAACGTGAATTAATCCAGCAAGGGGGAACTGACCGGCAGTTGAAGTCAATAAACATTTGCTCTCCATCGATGTTCTGAACGTATCCCAGCCAGGGTTCGCCGTTTGGTCGACGAACGATCACTGTAGTGCCGTTATTGTGTCCCCAAGCGCTGCCTCTCGGTCTTCGAAAGGGATGCATGTCTAGTAATAATAACAAAAGTCTTGTAACCACGCTGTACGGTCGTACATGCATAATGCCGCGGTAAAGGAAGCCAGAAACATTACCGCATATAAAATTACAGCGATACCAGTGAATTATAGTGAACTTCACTGATACCAGCGGGATCGCGCGATATGTCTGTAAGACTATAAGTAACGCGTCCGTAGTCCACGATCCTTCACAACTTTCCTTGTTGCTTCAAAAACGACTCGCCGTTCACTCGTTGACTGTAGCTTTTAACATTTCACACACCATCAAAAAGCGAAATGGAAGACTGCTCATGAACCGCACGATTGCAAGGAAGCGGGGCGATTTCAAATAAAGGCTAAAGCAGAATCTGCTGCTTATTCTTTTTGCTTTGTGGTTTTGAAAACCTCCGGTTCACATAATCTGCACTTGCAAGGCAAGGATATGTGATGAGCATTACGAGTATATTACATACCAACGGATCAGCTAGTAAAGCAGTACAACGCCGCGTTTCGCAAAGGATCACGGATGTCAGTAATGACCGTCATTGGACTATTTTTGCAATACGAATGCTTTAGACTGTATTGATCTTGATCATTCTAGGGCAATGCAAAATAGGGCACTCTTCCAACAAGCTGAACAGATATTACCTGGTACAGCCAGTACGTGATCCATATACGCCTTTACAAAGTTTTATAAAGTATTAAACGCTGCATTTGTGAACAACTCAAGTAGGTATGAATACAATCTTCATAAATGCGGTTGCCACTATGCAAAGAACGGTTCCGTTATGACCAGCGCTTCTTCTACTTTAAGGCAGCCCATGTCAGGATAAAATCTGATAAAAAATCAATGGCCTATTACTTATTAGAGCCAACAAAAGATTTGCGGAAGTATTCGACAAAATCTCTTTTTTTTTCCGGTCGTCTTTTGTTTTACACACAAATGTCTGCACGCGGCTTTACGTTCTCTGGATGTATCCGATCTTGTTGGCGCGTAGCAGTGCCGAAGTTGTTCCATCTTCGTTGACCTTTGACACAGCGATGCTAAGCTGATCGCGCAACGGAGAGCCTGCGTAAAAATTTTCGTGTTGAGCAAAATCACGCATCCCGGCAAACAATGACGAAACAATTAAACGTGAATATTCTCGTACAGTACCTATTTGCACGGCCAAGGCATAGTACGATTGAGCCAGAGCTTCCCCATCAGCAAACTTGAGCTTCCCGGGATTGGCGTCAATATAGGGACGTAGCTGGACCTCGTTCCCAACCATGGCGACACCACCGGCCAGTACGCGGTTAACCCCGTCTTGGTAGCTAGTCAGCCATCCGTTGGTTGCCTGAATATTGGCCAAAATGGCCTGGACTTTCGGATCCGGAGAAGTCTATTTCCCCACAAAATGATATTCACCTCCATTTGACAACACCATAGGTACAGAGTACGTACTCCTATCTCCAAAAGCATTTGGATACTTTAATGGTGAACAATATCATAACAATGATAACATGACACTGATCGTGTACTTTAGTGGCGTATAGAGATTAACGAAAGACGCGGACCGTCTCAAAACATTTCCACACCCCAAGGGCGTATTTGACGCTCGAGGTAAGTTTTGCCCACTCAGTTATTTCTCAGGCACTTTAACCATACTGCGTGTGGGCTCAAATTCATAATGCGAACGGGACAAGAAATTGCTTGGAAGAACCGAAAGTGAAGGTTTCAGTGGATGTATACCAATCTGTACCGGTTAAATGTTATTGCGAGGAGGACAATTATCCGGCTGACCGGTATACTAGTGAGTTACAAATCTCTTTCACCACATTATAATCCTGACAGTACAATTTAGGGCATTCAGTGTTTTCCGCCGGTCTACCACGCCAGCAGATCAGCTGACCAAACCTTCGATGGAGTGTACCCGATGAATACTTTGGCCAGAGGATGAAACCGGTTTTTTCAGTCGTAAGCTCAAAAAACCGGCTATTCGGCCACAATTTCCCTTATGTTAAGTTCAACAAATTATGCCTTTAGTACCTGCAGGAACTCTTGGTCCGAGCCGTCTTTGAGGACGACATAATTGAGTCCAGTGGCACTCGTAGCGGAAGCGGGCAGCAGAATTCTCAAACCAACGGCTATATACGGCGTAGGAAACTCCACAACAGTCAACCGCTGGGGTGTGATAACCAGGTCAGCAGCTACTATATCGGCTTTCTGCAACCCCAGGAAAAAAACGTAAAGCAAATGCCAAATTATAGACTGCTGCTTTAAATCGGTTTGTCACAAACTGAGTACGCAAATTTTTGTTTGCAAATAGTAATAAACATCAGGCTAAGCAAAAATGCTATTCATTACTAATAAGGGCGAAAAAGCTGTCTACCGAACTTAACTTGTCTGCACATTGCTGTGGTTTATTGGATTACCTTGCTAGCCAGAGCGCCGATCAGGCCATTCCAGCTTCCATCTGCTTGTGGCATACCATAAACTCCATCCGCTTGCACTGCGAGATTGTACGTCAAACCGGCTTGAGCAGCCACCGCTTTAACGTAATCGGGAATGAATCCCACCCAGTTTCCACTGGCATCTTTCGATGAAAAGGGAGCATTATTCTGCAAATCGTACGTATTGTATTTCGAAGTCTTTGAAATGCGCGACGGTAACTTACGTCCAATATGAGCACCGTCAGCGGTGTGCTGCTGTAATACTGCTGGCTGTAAACCGATGCACTCAAAACGAAGCAATGTACGAAAATTTTTAATCCCCTCATCATGACAGAAAAAAAAGTTTAAAGAGTTTAAAGTAAAATAAAAACCAAACGTTAAAAACGAAGCAAACCCTCACTTAAGCACAGCTGCATGGAATGCTTACATCCGATCGCTAAGGTTTGATTTGTTTCGCAAATTATTTCGGTAAAAATGTACGCGATGGCTTCGACAACTGTTCGATAAAGTCGAGCAGTAGCGTGTGTTCTCAATAATTAACCATTCAAAAGATTTACTGCCACAGTAAAATTATTTTCTGTACTTTCACTTAGCACGTTCACCTAATTCTGCTTCGTCTTCTGATCATAAAAACTGTCAGTTCTACATTAAAAATGACAAACAGATTTATTAAGGAACCAAATCGTTGATCTTTATCTGTTACAATAGGCCTGACGTTGAACAGCTAAAGCGAGATTAACAACGGAAGACGTTCGGCATTCAGGTGTGGTTATATCTTTATGGATCGTAAATTTGTCATCGAACTAAATAACTCATCATAAATGTTCGCTTCATTGCCCATTATACTCAGTCTATATGACAGCACGGTTATGTTTCCGCTGTGTAGATGATACGTGGCGCACCTTAAACCGCTGTTCGACCTAATTAATTACTTCGATGTAGCGCACTGACCACAGCAGTAACAAACCGAGCGGCAAAGTGGTCATACACTTTTTCAACAGTTTTTTTCGATACCGTTTATCTCTTCTTGCTCGTTTTTCTTTTGCTTTTTCAGTCAGACTAAAATTATTTCAGTTTTTTAAGACTGCCAAAAGATGTTGTGGGTGTTCCTTTTAATTAATGTCTGGTTATGTAGCGGCGCATATGGCCAAGTTCGAGTTTACATGATCCATGTAAGGTCCATGCAGTAATACTTGCATTTAGTTGATTTGATAAAATGTGGTTATTTGGCAGCTTAACGGCTCGGCCGCTGCCGACAAAGTAACGGGATTTCTCAACGATTATGTCGCCGCGGTAATGGCGCAGGCCAATTTAACCTACACGGTCACACAACAACCCGACTCGCGTTACGGTGCGCTACAGGCGGATGGAACGTGGAATGGTCTTGTTGGAAGCCTAGTAAACAAGGTCAGTAACCACGTTACGATCTGCTCAATTACTTTTCGCGTTTTCCCTTTATATGGTTATGTGAACTTCTTATTGCAATGTGAGGAACGTATCGTTGAATTATACGGTTTCTTAGTCGGCCGATATCGTCGCAGCCGACTTGACTATCACATCCATCCGTGATACCGTCATCGATTTTACCGATCCATACACACCGGTCCATCTGCGCGTGGTCATCAACATAAACGCCTCGAGCGCTGATGGGTTGAAGTACCTGGTTACTAAAGACTCCTCCGATCAGATTTTCATACAAGTAAATATACACTTACGCAGCGCTCCGTTTTTCGATGGTGCAACTAGAATGAAAACCGTTGTCACTTGCAGTCATCCAAAGAGCCAAAAATCCAGGCAATCTGGGCCAACATCCAGGCCAATAACGGTTTTGTGGACAACTACCAGGTTGGTTTGGATAAAGTCCTATCGGGCGGGTACGCCCTGATTATGGAGAGCGTGGCGGGCGGTGCGTTCAACGCCGCCAATCCGGGTGTGGCAAAGATCACGGACGATGTTCTCTGGGAAACGTATTATGCCTTTGGTGTACAGCAAGGTCAGTTTAACCGCTAACGTTACGGAAGTAACGGATGGGCCGTTTGACAACGATTCATGCTACAGGTTCGCCGCTGCGGCTACAACTGTCCCGGGTCATTGAGAAACTGAATGCCATTGGGACGACTCAAACGCTGTTCGCTAAATGGGGACTTACTGATCGACTCTGAGCGATTACCATGTAGGAAGTAGGAACAGCAACTGAAAGCAGTAAAAGCGACTTTATGTCGATCACAATGTTGAAGAAACTGGCCTCCTGCGGCAGAAGTTTGCTTTTGTTAGTACACATAGTTGTCCAGTAATTGTTTACGTATGTGATTATTCGACACAGCAGCTGTGTTATAAATTATGCGCAGCAAGTACAGTACTCACAAGCGTTGCATCAGATAACAAGCGACAAATTAAAGTTGTACAAGGTTCTCACGTATAATATAAACCCCTGCTGCGCAGTACGAGGAGGGGGATATTCAGTAATACTCCTACCCCGCGTATTATGTTTATAAGCAAATTAAGTTATCCTGGCGTGTGAAGAGGTGGCGACACACAGTAAATCGTGGTTACACAGTAACTCAATTTTTTTTCAAAAGGTAATAGGTGGATACAATCAGCATCTCGTACAGATAGCGTTTCCCATTCGTTGTTAGTTGATGCTGGATAGGTAGTACTTATTTCTAGTGGGCGCTTATTTTACTGCTTTAATTGACCCGCCCTGGCTGGCTCAAAAACCGCGTGTTGGACGGAATTGTTTTTAATTACCATGATATCTTCCGGAAGATTCACTTCAGGAGTAGATTTACATTTTACAAAATTTACAAAACCTCTTAAGGTTTCAGGTGTACAATTAAACAACTATTGAATGTGCATCACCTTAATTAGCAGAAATTCCTAATTAAACAATATCAACCACAGTACAATAACAGCAAACGAAAAATGGGAAATATTCTAACTCTGTTTAAGGACTGTTATTAATTCCAGAAAAGACTGTTTATTAAATTATATTCGCCTCCAACAAGCATAATCATGACTTCGATGACAGAACTTATTCTACACCTATCAACATATTGTACTAAACTACAATTCGCTCAAGCCGAAGCAATAATTTTTAATGTAGTTTATATCGAAAGCGTTCGCTATATATTTGCATTGATATTAAACAACGTTATTTACACTCCTCTGCATCTCCCTGTCTGGTATGATGGTGTCAGCATTACCTTGTTCTTGTCATCTTTCCTGTTGTGTTTGAGTCTGCTGGCACTATTCAGCAGTACAGTATTGTATACTGTAGCAGCACAACTTCCATCGAAGTTTATTGATTTTCCAGTACTGTGCAATAACATCAACTAGCTCCGCTTTTGTAAAAGAGTAAACAATGGAATTCATCATTATAGGTTATTTTAAAATATATTTATAGGTGATTTTTATAGGTGATTTCAAAATACAGCGTATGTGCGTTATGAGCAAAATCGTACAAAAAACGCGGGGTAAAATATTACCGTCTACCGGCAGTGCGCTTAAAAGGCGTGTGCATTTAGAATGGCTTAACAATTGTGCATTCTTCTGCATGCAAAACCATTTCTACTTGCACACCGACTGTAGGATACCGATTTCCAGGATCTGTTGACACTTGACACACAAGCGACTTGTATTACATTTAAATACTTGTGGGAGTGCTTGATCACTCAAGGGATATGCACAGCAGGCGGTGTGAATTTTCGGTGCAACACTTGCAAATGTGAAAATACATTGCGTTTTACTGATCTCATTCGAACTGTGAATAGCAAAAAAAATTTGTAACGGAAAAACTGCGCTGCGCACTGTCACGCTTCATACCGATTTCTGGACTCAAACATTTCCGATTGCTCTAGCCTTTCGGTAATTTCGCCGATGAGCAGTCCTGCACCTTTTATCGCTATTTAACATGGAAACTTTCGTAGACGGTTTTCGTTTTGTTCCATCAAAAGAGGAGCCCCTTAATGACTTCGATGAAGAAACGCAGGAAGATAACAAGCCGGATCACGAGACAATTCTCCGTTCCAACGAACGAAAGACAGCGCTGTTCAAGCGTTTGGTGGGACACTTATGGATTCTCTTGCGAATGCTCGGCTTGATCAGTTGCGACTCCACCCACCATTCCCGTTGGAAAATTCACATTCTCATCCTGAATGTGGCATGGTTCGTAGTGATTGCTTTGCTGCTCAGCGTGGTACCGCTTATTCAAGTGAGCCCGCAATTTGAGATGTATCGACAGCAGCACAAATATCTTACAGCGTTTGCTCTCATCGGGAAAACTCTTTCGTTATTATACCTGTTTACTTCCGTGAATTTATCCCTGCACGAAATGCCTCGCTGTCTGGCGATGGCTTACAAGCGCTATTTGGAAAGCAAAATGTAAGTTTAACTGCAGAAAAAACTTTCATTAGGCACTGTTTCTATACTACTTTACGAAAAAATGACCCTTCGTTTTGAGTAGTTTTGGATGCAGTTCAAACGGCTTGGAACAAATCTTTTGTTCATTCGAAACCGGCATTTTTAGCTGGTGTATAAGGTGGACGCATCGTGTAACGCATAAACCGAAGGCACCACTATACGTGAGAAATCACCGTAGATGTCGGCTTTAGCCGTATACGCCACATACAGTGACTTCTCGTGTATATTCTCACCTTTGTTTACGGATCGCTTTGTATGTCTACTCCACAATAATGTACTGCATTGCAGTGTATTTTCAGATTTATCACTCTCGTTGTGACAAACGGCATTTTACTTACGTCTTCAGAAATCTTAAAAGCCGTAAACGATACTTTCGACGTTATCAAAGCACAAGTGTTAATGTATAAGTGTTAATGTTTAAGCACAAGTGTTTAATGATTCGCTGCCAACAGGCAAACACTTCCAGCTCGGAGGGTGAAACAAGAAGCGCAAAAGAAAATTGATTCCACGCTGCTTATAAGCATCGCCGCAGTGTGTGTCTTCATGGCTTACCAATACCACGTGATCACTGGCATGCTGTCAGTCCAAGGAATGCAGTTGTGCGCGGAAACGTTGTGCATCAGCGTTTCTCCATGCGTTAAAACCCTGTGTCATCTTTGAATGTACGCAGCCGTTATTGTGGATGTGCAGCTGTTAATCGCCCGTGGTGTGATCATTACATGGTGCACCCTGTCCAGCGTTACGCTTTTTAATTGGCGAATGAAATCCTGAGCCCCTGAGGGCAGTGCCCCTGGGGCACTGCTTCTGTATAACATACACCCCTCTGTAACATTCAGAAAGCCTGGAACGGAGGGTGTATGTTGTAGAGAAGTTTCACTGTAGTGTGCTGCTGTACATAAGCTTATGTACAGCAGCACACTATACCGCTAATGCTTTTACTCTGCAAAAGCCGGTATTATAAAGTCTTCTGTTTTTTTTTCTCGTTAAGCATTACAAACGTACAGTAATATGCAAAGAACTCCAAATAATTATGGTCCTTCATATGGTGCCGAAACGTATTTTCAGGTTTATTACTCTAATAATATTAGGTGGCTTTTTAACTGCGGCTTCAGAAATTCTAAAGGCCGTAAACGATAGTTACGGCAGTATTAAAGCATCCATTCTTAATGGTTCCCTTTCAACAGACAAACTGTTCCAACTCGGCATGTGAAACAAGAAGCACAAAAGAAAATTAATTCCACATTGCTCGTCAGCATCGTCGCCGTGTTCGTTTTTGTGGCTTATAAGTATCACAGGATTACTGGCATGCATTCTGTCCAAGGAATGCAGTTGTGCGCGGAAACCTTGTGCATCAGCGTTTCTCCATGCATGAAAACCTTCTATGATCTGGGAATGTACGCTGCCATTATTGCGGATGTGCAGCTGCTGATCGCCCGCGGTGTGATCATTACATGGTGTGTCATGTCCACCGTTACGCTGTATTATTGGCGAATGAAAATTATGCCAGATGGCGATCAAACTGCTAGTACTGAAGTCATCCGTACGTGGCAGTTACACTCGGAACAATATCTTCGGTACTTCGACGAAGCTCAAGAGGTTACCTTAGGTTGGACTGCTTCTGCCCCGGAGTTTTTCGGTGCTTTATTCGTTCGTGATTTCACTGGAACTGCATTATTACTAAGTGAAGTATTCCATCGCGGAGTCGATCAGCCGCAGTTAATGATTAACTTTCTGGCACTCGTGTCACAAGTGCTTATTGCAACGATTTCATTTGTCGCAATGGCTGCTGTCGACTCGGAGGTGAGCATTTAAGGCATGACCTTTTCGGCTTTTGGCAGACGACTTTAATTTAAAACGCTTCGTGGATGGCCATTTGGATTGATAAAAATCAATTTTTAACGACAAACGTCGATTTTAAACAATATGCCTGCAACCCTCAAAATTTGGGTAAATTGGCAAAGGGAATTGAGAAAATTGGAAGCGTGCTAAATATTGCTCATAACTAGTGTATTTATATAGCTTTTGGCTGCGCTAATGGCACTATGGTTCACTGTAAAGTGATCCACTGCACAATGTGGCCAATGACACAACATACGGATCGTTTGCCTGATATTTTAATTTCACTACAATTCACATTTGTAAGTGATTTCCAAACTCGGCTGAATATAGTGCGCTAAATTGTTTTAACCAAAGGCAATAGCAGACACGACAGCAGGCAGACGCTTTGCAGCCGCTTACGAATTACGTAAGTAAAATGTTGGGAACTGACCTTCTTCATACTTGTTTAGGGGAACCGTCTGCCGCACAAAATCGAGAAAGGTATGACTCGGATGATGGATTGGTCGGAATCGGAGGAAAATCTTATTCATAAAGACCTGCGATTCATGCGACTGTATCCTATGAGCATAAGAATAGACAACTGGACCTTGGACAATAAATTCCTTAAGATTGTACGTAATTACTGACGAGAGCGCATATCAACTGTTAAGAATTTCTCAAGACAAATGTGATTTTTAGACTCTTCTGGCTCTCTCGTGCGTATTTGCAGATATCCGATGACAGAGCTAAGAATGGATCGGCGAGCACAGGGTTTTGTGGTGTCCATCTTTTTATGCTGTTGGCCTATGTGCTTTGAAGTTTCGTCATTTGGAGTCGCAAAATAAATTAGCTGTTTTGCAAATAGCAAATTGGTTGTAGGTTGTGCTAACATACTACGTATTGTATAATTGTTTTTTTCTTACGCGCATACAGATAGTCGTCAATCTTTAGTATATCCGTCACCTGTGTTGTGCTTAATTAATCCTTACTTATAATTCGTTAGTAACATATCTGTTTGGCCCATTGGCCCGCATAATCTTATTCTAGCGGGTCGCTCGTCGCTCTTTTGAATTTAGTAAGATTTTACCAACCGCATGTATCAGTGAGGCAAAAAATAGAATAGATGGACGATAATATATGCGCCCA